TGGGTGCTTGCTACATGAGCATGAGGACCTGACTTCAGATCCCTAGCACCCAAGTAAAAAGCCTGGGCATGGCCACACTCTCTGTAACCCCACACTGTGAGGGCGGAGACAGGAAGATCAACAGCCAGCTATCTAGGTTCAGTGAGAGATCCTGTGTCAAAGGAATAAGGTGGAAATGATAAGAGCAAGATGCCTGACCTCCTCCTCTGGACCGCAACGCGCACATGGTTGTGAGCACCAGTGCACGCTCATAAGAAGCAAATTTGATACTAAGGAATACAACACACCTTCCCCAGTTTTAACTCTGTATCAAGTTTAGTATTAGGTCATGAGCTGTCAGCATTGCTTATTCCAGAAAGTCGTATCATGATGTTCACAGGTTAACATACATTACTTGGAAACCTCACAATACTAGATACAGTTCCCAAAAGGACTCCTGTTTTTGTTTTCCTAATATGGCTTCTTTTTGGCTCTATTTTTACTGCCAATCCCAAATCGGCCATGTTTGGCATTAAAGAAAAGATGATACAAGAGACAACAAATATTAATAGACTGTAGTGAATATGAAAAATGGCAAACTACACAAAAAGCTAACATGACGCAGTGAAAAAAGCACACCATAGACTAGGAGAGATCGGTGTATGGTTTATTCAGGAGAAAATTCTCTCCAAATGCAGGCTTACTGCCACTGAACAACACCCTATAACTTTTCTCCTATCTAATGCTCTGACAACTAAATTTCTCTGTAATTCAATAAGCTCTTAGGAGTTACCCAGGCTTCATCCATCCTGCTGGGCTCATTAATGTTTTCCCCACAAGCTAAAAGCACCTTTTCTGATGAGCAGCACAGAAGTTAGGTTCTTTCAAAACATGAAGAGTCTACTCATTTCTATAGGCAGAAAATCTACAACAACTATAATTCAACAGTAAAAGAAATGGCTAAATTATAGTTCAGGTAAGTGGCTGTTAAAGATCATCCTATGGTTGCCAGTTTTATACATAGCATGAGGGCAACTCTTCATAAATTTTTTAATTAAAAAATCTATATTTTTACTCTTGGCACTATTTTATTTACTTATATCTAATGAGTTGCATGAATGCCAAATAAAGAATATGCCAGATACCTGTGAATACTTAGCTCCTGAAGCTAATGAGAACAAGGTCACAGATTCAAACTCCATGTTGGCCAATTAGCTGTGCCACGTTTCAGGCTTCATGGTCACTCACAGTCTACCACCTTAACCTTGACTACCAAAGAAACATACTGATCATGTGAAATATCAGGAGAATGAATATTATAACCAAATCTATGGCTAACATAACAATAATAAAAACCCCAAAGATTAACACTAACAACTCTATTTTCTACTGTTTGGCTAGTATGTGCCTAGTTTAAATAATGTCTATCTTTTCAGCCATGCAGGCTATTATTATCCTACTTTATAGATAAGTGAATTCAGAATGACTATAAGAATCAAGGTCACACCCAGCAGAGCTGGATTCAGACCTTTGTCTGCCTCCAAAGCTTAGACTATTTCCACAACACAGTATAGCCTCTCCTGATTGTGCCTCATGGCATAAGATAATCAACAAAATGTTCCTATTCAGAACTATTCAGCAGTACTCACTAACTGAGCATCTTCTGTGCATACACAAATCCTACAGCTGAGACTGAATCTACCTTCTGAACTCATTTTAAGTAAAAAGAGTCAAAGAGCAAAAGTGTTTAAAACAAAGAAAACAACATACTCTGCACAAGGTAATTTTAATGAGCAGGACTTTCTACTGTCATAGCTTTATTTACTTATTTATTTATTTATTTATTTATTTATTTATTTATTTCTCTGTGTAGCCCCAGGTGGCCTGAAATTTGACACGGGGTCTCCCTGTAGCCACAGCTGGCCTATAACTTGCTATGGAGACCAAGTTGACCTGGATCTCACAGATACCTGCCTGTCTCTGCCTCCTGAGTGCTGGGATTAAAGGTGTGTACCACCTGGGCCTGGAGAGGTGGTGCAGTGGTTAAGAGCACTGACTGTTCTTGCAGAAGACCTGGGTTTGATTCGCAGAACCCACATGGTAGCTATGAACCATCCTTAACTCCAGTTCCAGGGAAATCCGACACCTTCTTCTGACCTCCGTGGCATTACATGACACAGGTACACCCACATACATGCAGGCAATACACTCATAAACATAAAATGAAAATAATAAATAAAAATAATTTTTAAAAAAAAGTGTGTACCACCTTGGCCAGCTTGTCATAGTTTTTAATACACAACTGTGGGAAAAAAATAATCTTGCCAATTCATAACTAAAGGCAGGACTAAATCTTAAAAAAGCACAGAAGGTATATAAAATAAATAAAAGCAAGGAAATATTTTCTTAACATCCAGATATGCAGGTATCAGACAGTTGATAAGGTAGTAAGGAAGTAAAAACAGTATTTCAATTCTTAACTCTAAGATTTTGCCATGACAAACAAATCTTCATAAGGCTTTCCTTTTTGGTTTTTTAAAATTTATTCTTTACAGCAGTTACTAAGTGTCCACCTTTAAAAAATGAAGGTCACTATATCTCCTAGACCCCCCCCATTACAATAATTTGGGGGGGTCTTTTTGAGACAAGGGTCTCCCTGTAGCCCCAACTGGCCTGGAACTCACTATGGAAAGCAGGCTGGCCTCAAAATCACAGAGATCTGCCTGCCTCAGCCTCCCAAGCACTGGAATTAAAGGCATGCGCCACCACACTCAGCCTTAGACTACTGTAAAGTCAAGCATCTTGGTTTAAAAAGTATAATATAGTCATGGAACACAGAACAAGGGATGAAGAGAACACTATGTATTGCACGACAAGAGTGCACTTACATACATGCAGGAAACTCATTCATACACACAAAATTTAAAAAAAATTAAAGTCTATCCTCAATATCTGAGTTATAAAGACAATTACTTGTGCTATAAGCTACAATGTACAGAAAAGTACATTCTCACTATAGAAGCACCAGTCCAATTTCAACTAACAAAATACAAAACAATTCAAATCTCTGGAAAAACAGAAACCAAAGCACAACCCCAACAACCTTTTAACAACAGCACTACAGCAACTGTTAATATTTTGTTGCTGCTGTTGTTGCTAATGCTAGAGTTAGAACCCAGGGCCTCATGCATTCTACGACTGAGCTATGCTATCAACCCCCGGAATTTTTATTAAAATTGTTACACACACACATACACACACACACACACACACACACACACACACACACACACACCCTCAGTAACCAAGAATGTCAACTTTCAGTTTTTTACTGTTGGTTTTTGAGAAAAGATCTTACTAAAATGGCCAAACTGGCCTCAAACTTGAAATCCTCCTGTCTTGATCTCCAGAATGCTGGGATTACAGGTGTGTTGACACCACTGCCAGCTCTATGGTAGTTTCTAAAGTCTGTAGAGTCAAGACAGATTATCCTTGTTTTACAAACAAATGGAATCTCAGGAAAATACCTAAAATAAGCTCTAATTCTAATCATCATGATGACAACAACAATAAAATAACTGACTTACCCTTACCCATCACTAAGCTCTTTATAGTCACATTTCATGCAATCTTTACAGACATCTTATGAAGTAAATGTTGTAAATCCCATTTTAGAAGTCAACAGAAAAAAAAAATTAGTCACACCACCAGGATTAGAATTCAAATTTCTGTTCAATGATTTCAAACAAACACAAGCTTAAACAAATAAACATTTGTGCCAGGTGTGATGGTACACACCTCTAATCCCAGCACTAGGGAGGCAATGATAGGTGGATCTCTGTGAGTTAAAGGCTAGCCTTGTTTACATAGTCCTGGGCCAGCCAGGACTACATAATGAGACACAACAAAATACCATTACTATATCCTAAATCCCTTTAAAAACTAGTTGCAAAATCCCTACTCCTCTACAAGGAGAAAAAAAAATCAAGACAGTAAGAAACCAGTGAGAATCTCAGATCTTTACTGTCAGAAAGCAGACTAGAACATTATTTATATTCTAAACTCACTGTGAGGAAAGACTTATAGCAAGTACATCCAAAATAGGTCAAAGTACCTAGTGCCTGAGTTGTACAGGAAAAGGAAGGGGAAATCCCACAATGTCCGAGACTGGAACTAATACTTAGTAGTTCAGAACCATACTTGTGGATCACTAAGTTCTTCCTCAGATGCTTGTAATGTGTAGCCCTTAAAAGTTGTTACAGAGCAAGAGGGGCAGATAGCTGGGTGTGGTGGAGAGAAAAGCGTTCAACTTCTGATGGGCCTCACAATCCAAAGTTTAAAACTGACTCCACAGGTTGTAAAGGCCCTAATGTTACCTCTCCACTAGAAACCTGGCATGTGTATGGTTCATATTAGTTTCTAACGAGACTTTACCTCCATCTTATATTAACTCTGATCATCACACAGGCGTGAGCAAAATCTTTAAATGCAGCTAACTTGGTCTGGGTAAAGGAAGATACTAAGGCTATATATTTTAAGCATACTTTACAGTCCAAAGCTTTCACACATATATTACTTTTGCTGAACCCAACAACCCTGAAAGGCAGAATATTTAAGACTGTCACACACCACCTCCCAACCCCCCTTTTTTTTCCAGACAGGGAAACTGAGGTGGTTGTAGTCGCACTACAAAAGATCACAGGTCCAGCACCTGAGCCTCCTCTCAGGATTTAAGCCGTAAATCCTGTGCTTCTTTCCTCCCAACTCTTAACATGCACAAGGCTAGCAATGAAATCTTTTGATAACGAGGCTCAAAGTTTTCAGAGGGCCACCCCAAAGGAGCAGGAAGTAGAGCTACTTTATTAACTGCTCCCAAGCAGCCCATAGCCCGGGACTCCGGACAAATGAGCGGACGCGCCAGCAAACACAACCTGGGAATCGCCCGCAGCCCGGGGTCGTCTCCAGGCCCGACCTGGACGGCCCGCAGCCCCGAGGGGGTCCCTAGAGATCCCGTTCACTACCTGTTGACACCACGAAGGCAGCGACCCTACTCGGGAAGCAGGTAGGGCGAAGCCCGGGCGGACCCGCCGCCCCGTGGATGACAGAAGGTCCCCGGAGCTGCCCTCCGGACCCCCGGGCCGCAGGGGTCAAAGGGCGGGAGCTCCCTGTAACCTCCGCCCCAGGCGCGGGCCTGCCCTGCGCGTCACGTGAGAGCAGACCGAGCGGTGACAGACACAGGAGGAAAGAAGGCCTCATCTCAGGCCGAGAGGGGAGAAACGGGGGCAATGAGCCCCCGCTTGGGGCACGAAGGGCCCGGGGAGGGGGCTCGTGGTTACCAGGACGCCGTGGCTCTGCGCTTCCGCAGCCTCCGCGTAGCTCCTGCTCTTCCGCTGGCCGCTGGGGTGCGCGCCAGGCTTTGGCTCCGCCCCCGTGCCGCGGCGCCTTCTGGGGATTGTAGTCCACTAGGGGGCCCAGTCGGGTCACGTGGGGGCGGTGCTGGCAAACGTTAAGGGTGGGAGGGCGTTGATGTAAACGCGCTCACATCTCACAAGTCCTACTCAATTACACTGTGTCCGTTTCTCCGTCCACAAGCGAGGTTCTTTGAGCGTAATCGACAGTTAGTGCCCCACTTCCTCACATGTCTGCACTGCGTTCTACACTGCAGCTTCCGGCCCCGCGGAAAATGTCCTTGTTGCAGTGTCCTTGTTGCCAAACCCACTGGAGGTAGTTTCAGGCCCGTCTAACTTAAGCATTAGTCATTTGATAACTTAAGCACTAGTCATTTGATGCTGTTGGACACTATAATTTATTTTCTATGACACTGTCCAGGTTTGCCTTCCTCATTCCAAGTCTAGTCTCCTAGAATTCTTTTTCTAACCTCTTAAATATTATTCTCTGGAATTCGTTTTTTGAGACAGGGTCTCCCAGTAGTTCCTGTAATACCTCATTATGTAGATCAGGCTGGCCTTGAACTCACAGAGATCCGCCTGCCTCTGCCTCTGCCTCTGCCCCTGACCCTGCCCCTGACCCTGCCCCACTAGGCACTACTAATTCTCTGGAATTCTTGGAGGGGAAGATTCCAGCCCCTTCTCTCTTACCTCATTATACTCCCAACTTACTAAATGATCTCTCCTCATCCCTGTCTCGCAGGCATTTGAAAGTGAAAACGTTGGTGGGCTGAGGGTGTGGCTCAGCGGTTGCCTAGCATGAAGGAGGTCCTGAGTTCAATTTCCAGCACCATAAATGAAAAAGAAGTACTGAAAAACAAAGTGCTATCTCTGCTCTCCAATCAATGTTCACTGATCCCTTTGGCCTGGGTCTCTGTCTACTGCCCCTTCCATCCAAATCCTGTAGATTCTCTTATTCCAGTTCTTGAGTCTGTACCCTCTTATTTCTACTACCAGTAATTTAATTCCCACCTGCTTCATTTCTTAGCTAATTACAGGCTTCCTTGCAGGCCTCAGTATCTCTGTGGGGATCCTCTCTAGTGCCATAGGTCGATTCATGTAAATAGCAAATTTAATCAAGTCCTGCTTGTGTTATAATCCTGTAAAGACTCTATTCAGTTGAGTTTGAGAAAAAGAAAGAAGGTGAACACATTAGGTAGTTTTTACAAAATAGGAATCCCCTTTCTATTACTCTCCTTCCCATCCCATATTGTGATTGAGAGGTTAAAGAGTAAGATTTATAATAAATCTTTTTCTAGGGTAGGAAGGTGTGAATATTTTTTAAAAGTTCCCCAGGTGATCTCATCATTTAACAAAAGTTATTTTCTGGCTTACAATGTACTAGTGCTGGGTACCGAAAATAGTGAACAGAACAGTCTCTCCCCTTGTGAAGTTTATATTCTCTTAAAAGAGACAGATATTAATCAAATTTCATACCAAAAAGCAAGAGCAACAACAACAACAAAAATTATCAGCTGTGATAAGAATTATGAAAGAAAAGTAATCTGTCCCTTTCCCCGTCTCACTACTGCTGCCCCAGCCCAGGTTGGGAATCAATTTATATTCCTCAGCCTATCAATTAAAACTTGTCAGGAGCCAGTCTCCCCCCACTCCCTCCTATATCCATCTATATTTATCAAATTGCTTGTATTGTGTTGCTCTCTCACCTTTGCACAAGCTGTTCCTCTGTTTGGAAACCCAGCCCTTATCCTTGATTGACTTTTATCCAGTCTAATTCTCCCCTGTTGAATTCAAAGAACATCCAGTAGAATGCCAGACTCATGGAAGGATCTTCTGAAGCTCAGACCAAATCATATGATAATGCCCAGGCAAGCAGAGGTAGGCTGGGTAGGGGAACCAGGAACAGTTGAACGTGGGCTACTGAAAAGCAAGACTATGTTACCCAGTTTAGCAGTATTGGACCAGAGCCAGCAAACCAGGGAGACTTTGCTGAGTACCCGCTTCCCCACAAACTAGTGCCTATTTCCTGTGCATGCATTGCCACTGTGCTTTGTTTTTAGAACCAGCTCATGCCAGCTTCAGAGAGCCAATTGTTAGATATGAGGAAGTTTTCATGTGAGTTTTTTAAACCATTGGCAGATGGTAGTATTTATACCATAAAAATCAGCAAATGATGAAGCAGGGTGCTCCCCATCCCTCACCTTACCTAACACATCACAGCCTTTGTCATAATACTTATATTGTGTAGTCATGACATTCCTCTCTTGGATGGATTCCATTTATCAACTTCATTTAGCAAGTATTATTGATATTTATTAATATGTATCAGAGCCTTAGCAAGGCACTCAGTGAAGAGCTAACAAGCATGGTCCTTGAAGTTTTGGAGTCTGAGACTTAATGTTTGGAGACTGAGTTTACAATCTAGCAGATAAGTCAAAAGATAAATTCTGTTCTTTCAAATTAAGCCAGGCTGCTGTACAGCAGAATACCCTGGTAATGAATGGTGACACAGCACTTTAACAAGGTGGCCCAGGGAGGCCTCTTTAAGAGGTGACTGTCCACTCAACCTTGAAGGATGAGAAAGACATGGTAAAGCAGAGAACCAAATAACCAAAAAGATAAGCAAACCAAAGAGCTAGACTATTTAAAGGGTAGGCTGGTCAGTTTTGCTTTAGTAGATAGAATGCAGGCTGCTTGATCTAGCTGACTTTAAGAAGTAAAAAGCGAGGGACGTACATTCTTTAGGCCATGGTGAGAACCCTGGTTAACTTATAACCACCAAAGGGTTTCAGAATGTGATATTATCTGATTCACATTTTAATACACTTTTTGCTTTAGTTTCAAAGTAGGAGTCCATGTATCACAGTCCGGGTGAGATGCAATGAAGCCAACTGCTGGTCGTGGGACTGAGGGAAGTGGGTGGGTTTGACAAGACATGCTGATAGGCTGAATATAGTGGAAGATGGGCTGGAGAAGGAAGAATAGGACCTCTGGCAGTAATTGATTATATCCTTCTGCATATTTTCAGCCCCTAGAATTGGGTGTTGCACATAGTAGGCATTCAGTAGCTGTGTTAAATGAATTTGTACATTCTGTATGCTAAACTCTATGACCCACTGCTATCAAGTTGCTTAATTCAGTGTCTAGTAGCTCATCTAGTATTAACGCTATTGTACAAAACAGAAAAAAGTGCCCCTTGATGAACACAGCCCATCACCAGGACACAGTATGATAGCAGAGTGTGGACCACATTCCAGCCCCCACTTGCCCCCTCAGTTGGCACTCTTCTACAGTGCACAATCACACAACCACATATGGCCTGACTTAAGTTACCATCCCTCAGAGGCAGTTTTGTGGCATCAAGCCCAGTATTCATGGGGAGAATCTGAGGTCCAGGGGAAGGAAGCTGCTTGCCTGGGGTCACTGGAGCTGCTGCTGTGTCTGAGATGCAAACCTTTGCCATCCAAATCCCCATGGGCTCTTTAGCCTTGGAGCCACATTGTCTCTCCCAAGTCACTCAGCCCATCGATAAAAAGCTAAATTCAAAATGGTAACTCTGCTTCCTTGAGTTTCTCATCTGTCTCAGTTACTATTGTTGGAGTATTTCACATTTACATAGCATCCAATATGTGTTCTCTGCCTCACCAATACAATAAAGGAACATGAAACCAAAAGACCTTGCCTTTTTTTTTTCACAGAATAAATAAGGAATGACTGGTTTAAAGGGCCTTTAGCTCTGGATGAAAATGAGCTGTGTATTGTTTTAAGATGATGCTATAAGCCATTATCTTACCAAAAAAATAAGAATAACTTCACACGTAAGGTTCTTTTCCTTTATATCCTCAGCCAGAAAAAAAGAGGATATTATAATAGCTGGTTCCATAAATGTAAATTTGGAAGAGGGTCACAGAGTCAAGGTTTCAAGGCCATAAGGAAGAGAAGAATTAATCATCCTGGGGAAGGAAAGCCCTACTTTAATAAATAATAACATTTAGCAGTTAACAAGTATTCAATAGGTTCCAGATCTATGCCAAACCCTTTACACACCTGATCTAAATCAGTCCTCACACAATCATATTAGGTAGGACCCACATGTACCATCATTTCACATTGGAGGAAACTGAAACACAGATTACATAAACTGCCCAAGGCATGGTGCTAATAAATACCAAACATGAGATTTGAGCTAAGACCATCTGGCTTCAGTATCTGAACTCTTAGCTACTATATCCCTCCACCTCTATTTCATTCCTCTAAGAGATTCCTGGAGCCAGATCCTCTGACCCTTTGGAATCCTGGGACAGCTAGCAGAGGTTGTCAGGTTCTGAGACTGGGGGGTGGGGAGGAGGGTGTCTCAATGCTCAATAGTGCCTATCTTCTCTGTGACAAAGAGGTGATTCTATCCAGCTAGTTTCAAAATGGACAATTCCAACAAGAAATAGATACAGATATATAGATACATGAGATAATGGGCAAATATGAAATTGTATAGGAGAAAAGTTCTAATCTTGCTTGGGAACATTTCAGTGTTTTTCTGATAGTATCAGTAATTACCCATATGGTATGGAAGATGAAAGAGAAAACACTATCAGGAAAGAGGAACTAAATAAGCCTTCCCCCTAAAAATATGGGCCCTGACTGACCCCTCCTAACTTAAATTTTTTTTCCCTTTGCAGCCGGAGAGATGACTCAGCAGTTAAGAGCATTGGCTGCTCCTCCAGAGGACCTAGGTTTGGTTTCCAGCACCCACATGGTAGCTAACAACCAGCCGTAACTCCAGTTCCAGGGAATCTGACACCTTTTTCTGGCCTCCCCAGTTAGTGCATGCATGGGTTGCACTTACATGCAGGCAAAACACACACTAAGCCGGGCATGGTAGCACATGTCTTTAATCTCAGCACTCAGAAGGGAGAGGCAAGTAG